CCCAGCTCAGTCCTGGTCCTGTACCCCAGCTCAGTCCTGGTCCTGTACCCCAGCTCAGTCCTGGTCCTGTACCCCAGCTCAGCCCAGCTCAGCCCAGCTCAGCCCCGCAGGCCGTGAGTCACGTTGACACATTCCTTATTAAGCTCTCTGAACTTCCATCTGGTCACTCAGAAGTCAGCAGTGAGGACCGCCAGCAGGCTGCTGTCACTACTAACTTACTAAGCACACGGCAGGTAACTAATAAACGTTAGTTCTCTCCTTCCCTCTTCTCAACTGGTGGAGATGTTGACCAAGGGGAAGAAAGGAGGATGATTTCACGCAAAGGTGGGAGAAATCTGCTTCTCTGGGTCTGGCCGAACTTGGTGCTGAAGTCATGTATGAGCTCCTTATTGTCCACTCAAGTCTAGGGCATGGGTGTGTGTCCTCTGCTCCACAGAGAACTGCTTCCAACCCCTGGTGGGAGGAAATTCACACGGGTGGGAAGCAGGCCCAGAGGAACTTGAGGAGCGAGCACACCCAAGGACGTCAACTGCTTCCTGGGGGCAGATGTGCTGACCCCACCTACTGGTTAAAGCTGTTGTCTAGTTGACACAACCCAGAGTCACCTGGGAAGGAGGACTCTCAATCACGGAACCGCTTCCGTCAGACTGGCCGGTGGGCATGTCTGTGGGACAGTCTCTTGATGAAAGACTGATGTGGGAGGGCCCAGGCCCGGTGTGCCACTGTGGGTGGCATCCTCCCTGGGTGGGTGGTCCTGGGTGCTGTAAGAAAGCAGGCTGAGCAAGCCATGGAGAGCAAGCCAGTGAGCAGTGTCTCTCCAGGTTCTCTGCCTCAGTTCCTGCCTTGACTGCCATCAGTGGTGGACTGTGATCGGGATGGGTAAGCCAAATAAACCTCTTCCTTCCCAACTTTCTTTTTGGTCATAGTTTACCACAGCAACAGAAAATATACCTTACCCCCCCCCAATTGTCTTCAACCTGTAATAACAGTCATGGTGACGCCACCACTTTGAAGGTGGGGTTGGTCCACAGTGATGTACCCCAGCTCTGTCCTGCTACTCAAGGCACCAAGAGTATAAGAGAGCAAGCAGGTTTTGTGTCTAGGAAGACTAGCTGCCCATTGGGAACTGTGAACATTACAGGTCCCCTCTGATGGCACACTGTGGGGTGGGTGCGTGTGCGTGCGTGTGTGTGTGTGTGTGTGTGTGTGTGTGTGTGTGTGTGTGCGCGCGTTAGGATGGTACACACAGCCTTCTTCACAACTTGCCTGAGAACACACACACACACACACACACACACACACACACTATATGAGGGTGTTGAATGTATTTTCCCTGACAAGAAAAAGAGATTAATAATTTAGTAAGTTTCAGAGTCTCCAGGTCCACAGTGAGAGTAGACCATAGGTTTCCATGGAAACTAAGTGTCCTATAAGAGTTCTGATTGTTCCAGGTGAAATCAAAAGCAAGGGCACACGCTGCGAGAGTGGTGGAGGCAGGCCTTGGGGGTCACAGAAATTGCCTGCACTCAGCTTTCTAAGAAGCGGGACAAAAATTCCCATCCCCATGTATCAACAAAGGGTATGACTGTTGTAGAATATTATTTTAAGGTGTGTTACTTTTGTTTATGTTGCATTTGTTTATCTCTGTGAAGCTGTGTTGCTGTGCCTGTCTAAAACACCCGATGGTCTAATAAAGAACTGAACGGCCAATAGCGAGGCAGGAGAAAGGATGGGCGGGGCTGGCAGGCAGAGAGAATAAATAGAAGGAGAAATCTGGGAGAGGAAAAGAAGTAGTTAGCCAGAGAAGGAGGAGGACTCCAGGGGCCAGCCACCCAGCTACACACACAGCCAGCCACAAAGTAAGAAACAAAGATATGCAGGAGTAGAGAAAGATAAAAGCCCAGAAGCAAAAGACGGGATAATTTAAAGTCAAGGAAAGTTGGCAATAAATAAGCCAACCAAAGGCCGGGCATTTATAAGTAAGAATAAGCCTCCATGTGTGGTTTATTTGGGAGATGGGTGGCAGGTCCCCCAAAAGAGCAGAAACAACTAACAACATGACCACGAGCGGAGAGACAGAAAAGGCTGGAGTGAGAGGTGCTGAACCCAGCTCAATGTTCTCACTCTTGCAGGTAGGCTTCTCCAGGTGCCCACCACTGCAGTTCTCCAGGTGCCCAACACTGCAGTGGCTGCTCCTTCAGGGGACCCAGGTGGAGCTTCCCTTCCCTGGCTCCCTAGCCTGGAAAAGCCACATCTAAGTGACTAAGAGCGTTAACCGCTACAGAATCTTTCGATTTCCAGAACGTCTGGCCCCTCGGGTTCCTCCAGGAGGCGCAGCCTATCTCCTTAGTCTTTAGAGGCAAAGCACGGCCAAGGCTGTGAGGTGGTTGTGGGCAGCCCCAGGAAAGCAATGTTAATGTGCTGCAGCTGGGGGCGGGGAGGACAGAGGGAAAAGAGGAGAGAGGGAAAGACCGGGAGAAAGGGGTAAGGACAGAGGGACGGATGGTACACGCAGCCTTTTCTATAACTGGCCTGAGAACAACACCCACTGGATGAGGTTGTTGAATGTATTTTCCCTGACAGGAAAAAAAAATTAACTAGTAAGTTTCAGATTCTTCACGTCCATGGTGACGCGCGCGCGCACACACACACAGACACACACACACACACACAGACACACACACACACACACACACACCCTACAATGTGCCATAGAGGGGACCTGTAATGTTTGCGGATCCCAATGGGCAGCTAGTCTTCCTAGACATAATCTATTGGCTCTGTAATGTTCTTGGTGCCTTGAGTAGCAGGTTTTTCATGACAAAGCCCTACTCAGCACACACACCCTGCCTGCCAGTGCCCACTGCACCTCCTGTCCATGCCAGTGCCCACTGCACCTCCTCTCCCTGCCCAGTGCCCACTGCATCTCCTCTCCCTGCCCAGTGCCCACTGCACCTCCTCTCCCTGCCCAGTGTCCACTGCTCCTCCTCTCCCTGCCAGTGCCCACTGCACCTCCTCTCCCTGCCCATCGTCCACTGCA